ATATATATATATATGTATATGGAGCCCTGGTGGCGCAGTGGTTAAGCGCTACGGCTGGTAACCAGTAAGTTGTTCGAAGCCACCAGCCGCTCCTTGGAAACCCTATGGGGCAGTTCTACTCTGTGCGATAGGGTCTCTATGAGTCTGAAAATCGACTCAGGCAACGGGTTCGGTTGTATTTATATATTCCCCTAAATTACATATTGATTACATATATTTTAAGTCTTTAAAGAGAAAAAAACAATTCATTCGCAATCCGTAACACACACTGAAACTGAAACTCCCGAGGCTTTGAAAAAAGGAAAAAAAAAAATCTCAAAAGCTGAGAATCGAAAACGGAAAACAGTAGGCGCTAAACTTGCCGCATAAACTAGGAGCTTGTGGAACCGCACACACACCCAGGCGGGGCCGCTTCACTGATCAGAGGCAAACTTTCCACACCCGTATGCTCCTGATTGGCCGTGCCCCAGCGGTCCGGAAGTGACGTCCGCGCCCCAACCTCTACGGGGAGCCCCGTTGCCTCTTTGCACGTCCCGCCTCACGGCGCACCAAAACAAGAAAAAAGCGGCTGGGGCGGGGCCTGCAGACCGTCGTCTTGGCGGAGGGGGCGGAGCTTTTGCTCGCGGCGAGCGAGGATTGGGTTGTCGAGTGCGGACTGAGGCTGGGTTGCATCAGAGGCGGTTAGGTCGGCGGGACCGCACTTCCGCCCCTTACGGACTGTATAGCGGAGACATGGAGGTAGGCTAGCGGCCGACGTGAGGCCTAACGGGGTGAAGAGAACTGCAGGCACGCGGCCGTGGGCTGGTCACGTGAGGGCACGCGCGCGGCGAGTGCGCGCGGGGTCGCGTCGAGTAACCGTCGCGGCGCGTGAGGCCCTGGAGGGTGGGGGAGGGGCGACGCGAACCCCGCTGCTTCCCAGTGCGGGTCGCTGCGCCTGAGGTAGGAGCACTCTTCGGCGTATGGTGGGTCGCCCCCCTCTGTGCCACTTGCTCTTCGGGCTTCCGGACGCTGGGACCCACTTCCCTTCCTGTCAGTTCTGTGAGTCTACACCGCGGTCTCACGTTACTTGTTTTTGGTTTCGGCACTGCGTAGGTTTCTTGCGGGTGAGTAGGGGGATTGGTCGGGGTCTCTTAAAAATTAAATCTCTGTTCCCTCGACGCCCCGCCTTCCTCCTGCTTGTAGGTCTCTCTCTTTAGAGAGTGAGCTGATCACGAATGGCCACCTGAGCGCTCTCTGCCCCATCTGAAGGGGATGGAGCGTTGACAGCACGCCTGAGGGGTTTTGTCTGCCCTCGCCATTTCCAGCAGCGATGGACGTACCAAAGACTTGCCAGGACCCAGTGTGAAGTGGGCGTGTTTGCTTTAAGGGATAAGAACCCCATGATGATGAGGAGGAGGAGTTTGCTATTTAGAATGACAGAAATGACCTAGTTAACGCTGATACTAGGGTTGAAGTTATCTGTCCTTGCTAATTTGGGGGCGTTTTTGACAAAGTGCTTAGCTGTCTTAGGAGCAAATGTGGGACCGGGACTAGGAGTCAAAATCACAGTTTCACCCCTCATTTATTACGTGTGTGTCCATGACTAACTTGCCTGACTTCTCTGAGCTTGAGCTTCCTTATCAAATGGGAATGTTTGTCTCTGTAAGTTTCGTGTGAGTCACAGATGAGATAAGGAGCATAAAAACCACTTTATAAATATACAGTGTTGTTCCCTTTCTTATTTCAGAAATGTTCTTTTGGGGCCAGAGTTTGGGTATATCTGAATGCAAAGCCTCATCCATTCACAGATAAGCCCAGGAATCTTGGCTGACAGGATCACTTTGCTGTAGGCCATTTGCCCAGGTAAGTATTATTTAATGAACATTTAAGACATTTTTTAGTCACTTAGTATGTTCTAAGCAATGGAGTTAGATATATAGAACAGATCTTTGCCCTAACACACTCAAAATTGGTGAGGATGGGGCAGTTGGGTGGAAAACAGATAAACAGGAGTTCGGATCAACATGGTAAGTACAATGATGAAAACATGTTCAGAGTCCTGAAGGGATAGAGAAGAGGGTCCTCAAAGAGGAACTGGAAGGGAGAGAATGGGTCAGATAAGTCTTCCAGACATCGTGACACTCTGCTTTTCAAACCTGGCTTTCTGTTAGAATCACTGGTGGAGTTCTTTCAAATTAATCTGAGTTTTATCAGTTTTATCTACATTTTTTAAGTTCCCAAGGTGATTCTGATGTGCCTTCAGGGTAAAGAACCAGGCAGAGATATGGAAGATGGGTGGGTGTTCAAGGCAGATAGAAGAGCTTCCATAAAGTCAAAAAAAAAAAAAAACAAACCAAACCCGTTGCCTTCCAGTCGACTGGTAGCAACCATATAGGGAATGCCAAATATCATGAAGAATTTTAGAAAGAACAAGTGAGGGGAGGTAAATGTGGGAAAATGACAAGAGATGGTGCTGAAGGCAGATTATGGAGAGCCTGTGTGTTGAGCTGAAAAGTTTGAATTTTATCCCGAAATTGTGGAGGAGTCCTTTGTGCTTTGAACTCTGATAGTATGTCCTAGTTATCTAGTGCTGCTATAACAAATATCACAAGTGAATGGCTTTAACAGATTTTTTCTTTCACAGTTTAGAAGGCTAGAAGTGTGAATTCTGGGTGCTGGCTCCAGGGAAAGGCTTTCTCTCTCTGTCAGCTCTGGGGGAAGGTCCTTGTCATCAGTGTTCCCCAGTCGAACTTTTCAGCGCAGGGACCCTGCATCCTTTAGATGCACCATTCTCCTGGCTCTTGTTTCTTGATGGTATAAGGTCCTCCATGTCTCTCTGCTTGCTTCTCTCTTTCACATCTTAAAAGAGATTGATTTAAGATACAACCTAATCTTTTTTTTTTTTTAATATTTTATTGTACTTCAGGTGAAGGCTTACAGAACAGATAGTTTCTCATGTAACAGTAACACACATGCTGTTTTATGACATTGGTTAACAACCCCACAACATTTTAACCCTCTAAATTCTCAACTTTTTTTTTGTGAAAATACACATAGCCAAAGATACGCCATTTCAAAAATTTTTTTTACATACACATTTAAGTGACATTGACTACGCTCTTCTAATTGTGCTGTTATTCTCACTTAAGATGAAGGCTTACAGGACAAAATAGTCTCCCATTTAACAGTTACTACAAATGTTGCCCTATGACAATGGTTAACAATCTCACAACACATCAACAATATCCTTACTCTACTTTGTGTTCCCTATCATCAGCTTCCTGCTCCCCTTCTGCCTTCTGGGCCTTGTCACTGGACTCCTGTACCTCGTTACTCTCATGGTTTTACTGGGCTGTCCACTCACAGGCTGATCAGTGAACCTTGAAGGTAACTTTACCACCGAGCTAAAAGGGTGTCTGGGGGCCATACTCTCAGGGTTTCTCCAGTCTCCTCTAGGCCAGTAAATCTGGTCTTTTTTTTTTTTTCTTTTGTGAGTTAGAATTATGCTCTACATCCTTCTCCAGCTCTGTCCAGAACCCTCTGTTATGATCCTGGTCAGAGCAGTCAGCGGTGGTAGCTGGGCACCATCTAGCTGTACTGGACTCAGTCCGGTGAAGGTCTTGGTAGCTGTGGACAATTAGTCCTTTGGACTAATCTTTTCGTTAAGATACAACCTAGTCTTGTAGATTGAGTCCTGCCTCATTAACAAAACTGCTCCTAATCCTAGAGGAAGGATTTACAGCACGTAGGTAAATCACATCAGGTGACAAAATGGTGGACAATCACACAATACTAGGAATCATGGACTGGCTATGTTGACACATATTTTTAGGGGACACAATTCAATTGATAATACAGTATTTAGGAGGAAGAATTGGTAGGATGGATCAAAAAAGAGATCAGGTAGGCTTCCAGATTAGATAGTAATCCAGGCAAATAATGAAAATATAGTTAGACTGAAAGAAAGTACAGGTGTAATTAAGGAGATAGACTCTATGGAACTCATAGAAATGGGAGCGAAGGAGGTTAAAAAAAACCAGAAAAAACAAACCCACTGCCGTCAAGTCGATTCCAACTCATAGCGACCGCATAGAGTTTTCAAGGCTGTAAATCTTTACGGAAGCAGACTGCCATATCTTTCTCCTGTGGAGCTATTGGTGGTTTCGAACTGCCAACCTTTTGGTTAGCAGTCGATCACTTTACCCACTGCACCATCAGCAATCCTAAAGGGAGGATCCAAACCCGTTGCCAAACCCGTTGCTGTCAAGTCGATTCCGACTCATAGCGACCCTATAGGACAGAGTAGAACTGCCGCATGAAGTTTCCAAGGAGCAGCTTGTGGATTTGAACTGCCGAACTTTTGGTTAGCAGCTGAGTTCTTAACCACCGTGCTATCAGGACTCCTTGGAACTTAGAGATGGGAACGAAGAGAGGATAAAAAACCAAAAAATAAATAAATAAACCGAACCCATTGCTGTCAAGTCATTTCTGACTCATAGCAACCCTATAGGATTTCCAAGGCTGTAAATCTTTATGGAAGCAGACTGCCACATTTTCTCCTGTGGAACTGCTGGTCGCTTCAAACTGCCGACCTTTCCATTAGCCCTCGATCACTTTACCCGCTGTGCCACCGGGGCTCCTAAAGGGAGGGTGGTGTAGGATAATTCCCAGGTTACTGGTTTAAAAACTGAAAGGATGATAATGCCATCAATATAGGAAATACAGGAGTAATGACAGATTTAAGTTAAGGACTTCTAGTCATGTTTGCTTTGAGATGTGAGTACAGATACACTGTATGCAGTTGGATATTGAATATATATGTCTGGAGTTTGTGAGAAAGGTCTAGGCTATCACTCATTGAGTAGCTGGAACATAGTTAAGTATTGCATTAAGAATTTTACATAAGTTCTCAGTCTTTGGGAAGCTTCAGCGTAGGTGGTAGTTAAAGCAGTTTTTTGAATTAGGTCACCTTGGAAGGAGAGGATTGAAGAAGGAAAAGTCCTGAGGACAAGCCTTTGGAAACTTTGGTATTTAGGACGTGAACAGAGGATGAAGCAATTACAAAGGAGACTGAGGAGAAAAAATGGCAGGAGAACTGTGTGTTAGCTAAGGAAAGTGTGGTCAGTATCTTCATATGCTTTAGAGGGGTCAAGTAAAGAACCTATTGGATTTGATAGTATAGAAACTATCAGGGACTTTTTTGAAAACTTTCGGTGGAGTACAAGAGTAGAATCCAAAGTGCAAAGGAGATGAAGTAGGTGATGGTAAATCTATATTATTTTTTCAAGAAGCTTAGCTGAGAAGGATAAAGGAAAGTGATATTTGAAATTTCTGGCTGACTAATATTGAGAAACGATATCCCAAGGATAAGTGAAAAGTTATAGCCTGCGCCTCTGATGAAGCATACTATATTATTGACACTTTTTCCTGCTCGGGAGTGGTTTTCATTTTCTGTCCTGCGCTTAAGGATTGCTTGGACAACCTAATTTTGCGTGGTTCAGTAACGATTCCAAGCAGCTAAAATTGGATGAAATTAAAACAGACTTCAAGATGAACTTAGAGTTTTTCAAAAACAGGATTCATGGTTGTTTATAAGCAGTAATTTTTCCCCTAAAGGAAAATTAAAAATCGACCCTGTTGAGATTTCTTGGTCTTAGCCATCAGGCCAGTGACGATTTTAGATTTGGGAACATAACCTCATTATGGCCTGTTGAGAAGAATCATAGAAGCATACATTTCTGTGTTGACATGTTGTACAGCACTATCCTCTATTTTGTAGATTCCATAGCACTTACCTGTTCCACGGCAATAACTCTCATCTACTTTGAGAAAATTTAGTCCTGCTTTCTGGGGTGTGGAAGTAGGCTACCTCTCTTTTTGCATAAGATGAAAAGCAGGCTCCTTAATTTTCTTAATAGAAGGTTTTTCTTTTTTTTTCTGTCTGCTATTACTTTAAAGTACACCGCACTTTGCACTTCAGTCCCTTAATTAAGTTTATTTTTTAAAAATTTTAGTGTGTTGTAGGGGAAAGTTTATGCAGCAAATTAGGTTCCCATTTAACACTTTTTATGCATATTGTTTCATGTCATTGGTTAACGGTTTTCACAATGTGTTAACATTTTAATTGTTTCCATTCTGTTTGTTCTGTTTCTAGATTCCCTTCCCCTTCTGGCTTTCTCATTTTTGCTTTTGGGTAAATGTTGATTGGTCTCGTGTTTAAGGGAGCATGTTACTGATTGGTGATACTGTTTATTTTATAAGCCAATCTATTATTGGCTGAAAGGTGACCTCCAGAAATAGCTTCAGTTCCATTAACTCAGTTTTCAAAGTTTAAATGGACTGCAAACTGTTATTCACCAAAATCATACTATCATGCTTGAAACAAATGATGTTTGAGAAATCTCCATGATGTTTAATTTTCTATTCTTAGGTCTTCTAAGTTCACTCCCTACATTGAATTAGATCACTGGAAAAAACAGCTTATGTGAATTCTGTAAACTCCCTAGTGTTATATTGATGTTTCAAGTATAAGAAATGCTCTTTGAATACATAATTTTATATTCTGCAAAAACACAGTGAAGACCTTATCTGTTATGTTATTCTCTATTTTCTATTGTATAGCACACTTGCACGCAACAGGCATTACTGAAATGTAATTGAAGTAGAATTAGTGCCAGGAAAGAGCTGGGCTCTCCAGCTGAACTTGCATACTTTTGTTCACATGAAAACTTTGTAACTCATCATGGCTATTCTCTTTGCTCTGCTTTTCAAAAAGTTCCTAATTTAGGGTTTAGTGAAATTCTAAATACGTTTTGATTTCTCTTTTTTTTTAAATCTGTCTTAAATGTCATTTTGTATGTATGTAACAATGTTGAAAGCTAACCCCAAATTCTTTTTAGATGCATGAGGAAAGTATAAAATTAATATTTAAAAAATTAAAAAATTCAATTCACAAAGCAAGTACATGTATCTTATTTTACTTAAACGCATTTATATGTAATTATTTTATCATGGGTGTAAGAAGAAATTAAAGCATTAAAGTTTAAAAAAAAATTCGTTACTTTTAGGAAGTAGTATTATGCTACAAAAGCCTTGCAGCAAAATATAATTTCTGTCAACGTGTTACTGATTTCCCGTTAGCAAAGATTATGCAGTCTCAATTTTGGGGGGTATGTGTTCAAAAACCTTATATTGCCAAGTTTCCATACCCAAATATTCAGTGACTTGGATTAGGTTTCTTAACTTTGTATTGTCCCCTCTTCCTCCCTGCAAAGAAACGTTTTAGACATCTTTTCCTAATTGCCCCTCACATGAAATTTTAATGCCACAAATATCCGTGCTACATAAAGATGAGGACTTTTTTGACGGCCACAAACTGATATCATCCCCTTGAGGGTGATATGACCCTGTTGAGAGTGCATGAATGTTAGGTCCGTTAAGTTTATGAAATAAATTTATAATTTAACAGTTGACTTCGTGACTTTTTTCCTCCATTAGGGTGATGTTTTACATATATTGGATAGTTAATTTAAGGTCAAGTTTCTCAAGATCAGATCTGTTAGATAATTTTCTTGCCTCAATACCCAATCAGTATTTTCATATGAATGAACACTTTCCTTGATTCCACTTCGTGTGAATTTCTACCTTTTGTTGTTGCAGACTGGCTAATAGTTGTTTGTTTAGATAATACTTACTTGGTTTTTCTGATGTTTTTCTCATGATTAGACTGGGATTATGGGGTGGCTATAAGTAGAAGTCTATCCAACAGCAACTACAACCCCGGGGTTGAAATTCCCTTCTCGTGACATTATGTGTGTGTATGGCGGGGGCGAGGCTATCAATATGACTTATCACTGGTGATGTTAACCTTGATCAGGTTTGCCAGACTTCTCCATTGTAAAGCGACTGTTTTTCCTTTTCCACACTTTTCTTTGAAAGTGGTTCTCACTAATCCAGCTCACACTCAGGAGGTGGAATTAAGCCTCACCTCCTGGAACAGGGAGTAACTACATATTATTATTTTTAATTCTTCTGTGAGGAAGATTTGTCACTTCTTCCCTTTTTTTTATTCAATCATTTATATCAGTATGGATTCTTGTATATTTTATACTTTAGGTTATAATTACATTATTTTCTTGCTCACATTATTTCAGCTTTGGCTACTGGGAGCTCTTACGGGTTGTCTCCTGTGGTGAAATGAGTTCCTTTATGTGGCCTTTTGCCTTGGTTCTTTGGAGAAACAGCTTTAGAGATCTTCCCCCTAAGCCCTGAGGAGTTACCTTTGCCCTAGTTTTCTGCCCTAGAGGGTCTATTACTTTTGCTAGGTTGATTGAATTTCCTGGGTAAGCTGTAAACAACTTGGTTTAATACATTTTGTCTGGCCCTGGGCTACAGCCTGCCCTGTATATACACCTTGCAGTGATTGGTCAGTATACTATGCAAATGAAGTGACTGTAGCCTACTATGCAAATGAAGTATCTGTGGCCTACCAAGAGGGGTTTGGTCTGTTTGTGGCTGCGCCGGAAGAGGCCGTGCCTTGAAATTGGCAAGGAGTTGTATATTTAAGCAGTCAGCCCCACAGAGGTTTTTGAGACAGAAGCAGAAGGAAGAGAGAAGCAGCAGGGAGAGGAGGCAAGGAACTTCCCAGAAGAACTGTAACAGGGGTCAAGGGATATAACATTGAAGACAGCAAGAGGCTCAGAAGAGGCCCAGTGGCAGAGCCAGCAGCAACAGGCTTGGGAGAGAGCCGGTAGCAATGGGCATGGAAGGGGCCCAGCGGCACAGCTGGCAGCGACAGACAGCAGGGCCAAGAAGAGCCTATTCTCAGGGACCAAGAGGAGCCTGTCCTGAGGGGGCCAAGGGGAGGACTGCACTGCTGAGAGAGTTATCCTACACTGAAGAAGGGACACTCTGTGTGCTTCCTGATGACGATCCTGATTTGTAACCTTTTAATCCTGGTCCTGAGTTGTACCCTGTTACTTCGTTAATAAACCACTTAACTGTTAAGTCCAATTCGTGAGTTCTGTGAGACATTGCAAGGAATTACCAAACCCAAACGAGGGAAGGAGAATGGCCAGTGTCAGAGATGGAGTGGTGCAGCAGCTTGGAGAATGTAGAAATCTGGGATATAGTTGACCTCCGCCTCATAGGGATTGACTTTGTGCTGATTCTTGGATTTGAAGTTGTTTGTGTAGCTCCAGTGTCCCTTTGACATGTTCCCATTTTTTTGTAGTATAAGCATTTCCTTACTTTCTGACACTACAAGATATTCTAGGCTCATCTGGTATCTTCCCTGACCTAACCTTTTCTTTATTTTTATCAGTGCAGACATTTGCTTTTTGTTTGGGCACAATACACTGTTTACTAACAGCGACCTTTCTATTAGCTTTCTACACGTGTTTCGTTAGGGATAAAACTATAGGTTCTTAGCTTATTTTTGTTACAGCTTATTGGAGTTCATCTATGGAGATCTCTTTGGAATCTAGTCTCTATCTTACTTGCTAATCCTTTCAGTTTCGTGTGCTGTGCAGTTCTGATAAATCTGCCTCACGTATCTTCATTCAGACCTTTGACGGACATGGTTCCTTGGACTTTCTCTTGCTTTCTGGTTCCCTCTTGCTACTTTGCTGTCTTTGAGATTGCTAGGACTTGGAAGATTATTTCATTTTAGCCATTTCACTGGGTGGTGGAGGCTTTGATATAAAAACAAATTATCTTAAATTGAAGGCAGTCAACCTTAGTAGCAATAAGTTGTTAACATTTGTAACTTGTTAGAGTTTACAGTGCATTGAAGAGCAGTGAGTTATGGTCAGTGATTCACACATACACATGCACATTCATGTATGTATACTTTCTAATCAAGAGAAATTCCTTTTCTGTATGGATTTTTGTTATTGGTACAGGTTGGTATTTATGTATTTTTTTATTTCCAGGATTTCTGGAACATAGCCTTTGGGAATGTGAAAGGTTTCCTGACCTTTTGTCTGGATCCAGTACATCACTAGAACACTCCAAAATCTGTACTTTGAAAACATGTTGATAATTCTGTCCATCAGCACTACATAGTTTTAAACCTCCTTTGTAGCACAACTGTATATTGCCTTATGGTATTTATTACCAACAAAGTGCTTTCATTTCATTTCTTTATATTTTTCATGTGTCAAAGATAAGATTTTTAAGAGTAGGCACAGATCTGAGTTTAGTCAGTCCTTGTTACGCTAGTCAGCAGAACGTTCTGGCTGTGGTGGAGGGACATTTTTTAAGTTGAAGATCAGGGCCCACTGGTAGGAAGTGTACCTATTCATCACACAGACTAGGCCTGAGATTTTTTAAAATTTTTCTTTAGTCTTTAGCTGTCTTCCTTTCTGAATATAGGTACAGAATGAGCACATGTTGTTGGTGTACACCAGGTGGTGGTTCCACCATTGACTTCCTAAAGCGCTATGCAGCCAGGACCAACACCAGTGAATTTCAAACAGCTGATGAAGACCTCTGCTACTGCTTGGAGTGTGTGGCTGAATACCATAAAGCAAGAGATGAATTGCCATTCTTGCATGAGGTAATTTAGATTAGATGGGCAATATTTTTAGGAGCTTGATAACTAGGAAGAGATTAAGTTTAAATTCTATTAGAAGCATTCAAGGACATCATGATATGATTTAAACTCTGAAGGCTAATCTAGTTGCCCTTCCACTACCCTGCTCATTGCCTGGGACCTAGTAGGTACTGAGTAAACACTTACTAATAGAATTGAATTGAAACCTGTAAGAGAATTTTATGATCCATTAATCATTTTGGAATAAAATCAGTTTTATGAAAAATTATGTATGGGGATTTTTTTTTTTTTCCCGGTAACTTATTTGATAATATACAGTTTTGGTTCTTTTTTTAAAGTCAGTATACTTGACATGTCTGAATGGCTTGGTTATTTTCATTATTGGTTAATAGTTCTTTTTTTTCCTTAATTTTTTAACTAGTAAATGGTATAAAACTCTAAGGGTAAGTATTTTCAGTCATAGTAGGTAGGCAAGGTGAGAGAATTCTAGATACATGCCTGAGAATTTGGTTTATTATGTTTATTTAATGCAAAAACATAACACAGATCGTAGAGATGTGTAGTATTTAGAGGAAGAGGGGTTGATTAATTATGGATTCATATTGAGAAAACTTGGCATTTATAGTTTCCTAATTGTGAAGCTAGCCAATGTTTTCATGCTAAAGCTGATGTTTTAAGATAGGTACTATGGCTAGAACATGGAAGAGCAAAGCATAAAAGGCCTAGTTCATGCCTTTGACAAGCTCTAGCTTTTCATTTCCTTTTGAATATAGTTGGTAGGAATGTTATGAAATTTATAGCAAAAATGCGCCAAAGAAGTTTTAAACATTTCTGTTTAATCTCATAAAAGTGGCCATGTTTAGTGACTATTTTCTTTAAATAAATTCAATACATGATGTGTAGTATATCTTTAAACTTCTAAATTTTTATACTTAGGAAAAGGCTTTCTAGAAAGATAATCGTGTTTCGTATATTTTGTTGATACTAAGGTATAAAACACACTGCCCATTTTTCTTTTCTGTAGGTTTTGTGGGAATTAGAAACTCTACGTCTCATAAATCACTTTGAAAAATCTATGAAAGCAGAAATTGGAGATGATGATGAATTATATATAGTAGACAACAACGGAGAAACACATTTGTTTGACTTTACTGGCCAAGACTTTGAAAATAAGCTTCGAGTTCCTCTTCTTGAAATACTGAAATATCCTTACTTACTTCTGCATGAGCGAGTTAGTGAGTATCTTGGGTATTCCTCAAATTATATTAGTTTTACTTTTTTAAAAATTGTAAGGATTTAGGTTTATTTATATTGAAAATTTGATTACCAAATGTATAATTAGGGTACTTAATATATTTTTTTTCTAACATTTTATTAAAAAAGTTTTCGAGCATACAGAGAGGTTGAAAGAATTGTACAGTGAACACTGTATACCCACCACACAGATTCTACAATTGCTAAAGTTTTGCAATATTTGCTTTATCACGTATTTATTTATCTGTCCATTCAGTTCATTTTCATTCTTGTAATTTGTCTATAGCAGGATTTCTCATCTTGGCACTTGTGACATTTTGGCTGAATAATTCTTTGTTGTGGGGTACTGTTCTGTACCTTGTAGGATGTTGAGTAGCAGCCCTGGCCTCTATTCACTAGATGCCAGTGGCACACACACCCCTAGTATGACAACCAAAAGTGTCGCCAAACATTGTCCAGTGCCCCTGGGGAGCAAAAACCATTCCTGGTTGAGAATCGCTGGTCTACAGTAATTTTCACTAATCATCATGGCATAGCATATTATGGCTATCTAGATTTTGGTCATTTATATTTGCATTTCTTAATATGACTCTCTTAAGAGTAAGAACATTTTCCTCTTCTATCAGACCCTAACAAAATAACATTTAGCTGATATTCAAGTTTTCCCAGTAGTTGCAAAAAGTGTTTTTTAGCTGGTTTGTTTAGAGTCTAGTCAGGCCACACTGCATTTGGTTTATATTTCTTTTGTCTCTTAATCTAAACAACTCTACTCTTTTTAATATTTGTTGTATTTTTGGTGAAAAATGTATACAGATCATATACCCATTCAACAATTTCTTTATATACAGTTCAGTGACATTGGTTATATTCTTCATGTTGTGTCACCATTCTGCTATCTCTTCCTATATTGTTTCACCACCATTGACTTAGACTTATGACTGCATAAGCTACTCATCTGTGCTTTAGAGTTACTGTTGTCAGTTTGATCTGATACAGATAATTCTTTAAACATTCAATGCTTGGACTTCCGGGCAACATGGTGCTATAGTCAGAAGCACCACATCGTCCCTCCACGGCAAAGATCAGAAAAACTAAGTCAAACAGAGTCACGCGTCAATCTTGAAATGCTAAGCATCAAAAGAAGAGGTAAAGAACTCAGCCAAGCACTGAATGGAATAAGAAACTGACCAAGAATAGAGAGCCAGGAGAGATACAAGCAGAGGTCCCCTATCAGGTACCACAGTATGGATCCGCCATCTTGGACTCCTGTCAGAGATCAGTGAACGGGGTATGAGAAAGCAGCTTCAGGGAGCTTCCAGCAGGAGACAAAACAACCGGTAATCAGTGATATAGGCTTTCCCACCTCCCACCCTTCTTCACCCCCACTTAGTCTCCTCTGCTTCCTGCAGCCACAGTCTCTTGGCCGGGAAGCACTAGCTTCACCCTGGTTTCACTTGGATTCCACCTGCCCACACTGGCTGGCTCCCTGAGTGGCTTTTGTTGGCTGCTGGGTTGCTTTTTTCCGCTTCTTTAGATTTCTTCATTACCTCTCACCACCTCCCCCTCCTTTCTCTCAAATACCTGGCTCCAAGTGCCATCTGTGCTTCTTCCTGAAAGGCTGCGAAACACCGCTCCACTGTGAAACTGCTTCCTAGCCTGTGCTGCCACGTTGGTGGGACCCCCTGGGACTTTTTTGTTTGTTTGCTCTGATTTGTTTTTCTTTCTGTTTTCCCGGCTTGGGAGCCCCTTCTAGCCGGGCAGTACCGCGCGGCTTGGAAGCTACTCCTTTACTCTGCGCAGATGCGCAGGGACATCCCTGAGGGCATTTCTTTTTTCTTGTTTTTGGTTTTGTTTGTTTGTTTCTGGGGTTTTTTTGTTTCTTTGCTTTGTTCTCTCTCTCATTCCCTTTTTGTCTTCATTTCCAGTTTCTCGATTTATTCATTTTTTTCTTTTACCCTTTTTCTTTTTGTTTTCCCCCATTTCTCAGTCTCTCATCTCTCCACTCCAAAAGCAAGCTCCCTTAGCACTTTTTTTTGTTTCTGTGTATGTTTTTGGCTCCTGTTCCTCTCTCCTCTCTCTCCTCTTTCCCATACCCGTCTTAGCTCCACACATCACAATCTGCTCCCTCTTTCCTGCCTACCTGCACCGTGCGCTGAACATCACACTCCCAAGCAGCATAGGCATGGCCTACTGGAACCTGCCCTGCACTGATTCCCAGTCCGCACTGTCAGCCCTGGTACGTGCCACAAACAACCCATCCCAGCAACTCCCCTTCAGCTGGACCTGCCCTGTTTACCATACCTGAGTGACTGACCCTGCCCATTGGAGAAGGAGGTGAAAAGTATCGTGCCCACAGACGAGCAGACAACAAAGAACACACAGCCTGCCTGCTCAGACATAACCAAATAAAACAAAAAAGCAGGACGAAACAAACAAATCTACAGTCAGTAAATGAGGAAAATAACCACTGAATGCCCCAAAGACAGCAGACAACATCAAAACATTTATAAAAACAGGACAGGGTGGTTCTAGTAGGCATCCAAAATAAAACACCAGATGACCTTCCAGTAGAAGAA